ATACATTCTGTTGATTCTGTTTCTCTGGAGAATCCTAATACAGGCCTAGGTTTCCCTTTCTGAGTAAAAACATCTACTTGGAAGTTCTTGGAAGAAACTGTGTACTTTTGCTTTGGATTTAATTGCTAAAAGTCAAAGTGTTCTGCTGTGAAGACTTGCTTATAGTTTAGTAATTTTAGTTGGATGGAATTTTTTAGTTGGATGGAATTTTCCTTGCAGAATATGCAAATGGCCTTGGACATTTGAGGCAGTGTCTCTTTGCTTCTTTGAAGCTGTGAGTGAGTGCTGAAGCTTGAGATGACTTGGAGATGGCTTTCCTCTTTGTTCTGTGTGGAGTGAGCTCAGACCCAACACCTTTTTGGTGATGCTATTACATGAGCAAACTCTTCATGAAACATTTAAATACCCTTTAAAACCATGCTACCTCTATTTTACTATGGTTCTGCTAAGTTCCTAAATTACAATCTTTGAGAACTGGAGGGAATCATGGAAATAATCTAGTCGAAACTTTTCCAAATTGTGTTCCACGAAACATATATTCCTAAATGTTCATAAGTGAACAAACCTTTGAAAAAAAGGGATTCTATGACCAAGTACTTTTGAGAAGGGCAGCACACACGCTCCCTTTTGGGGAATCCAGATGCACTTTAATGAAATATGAGATACCTCTCAGACTTTGAAGTGGAGATATCAAGTAGGCAGTTGGAAGATGGGTCTGGATTTCAGGGGCAAGGTTGGAGTGGGATACATAGGTTTGGACGTTAATAGGTTTAAAACCATGAGAGCAGATGAGATTTCTCAGGAAAGAGTTTAGAAGAAATGAGTATGTGTGGTCTGGAGGTGTTGTAGCTCTCTTGTGGCCATGAGAGGAGGACCTGAGAATGGAGCCAAGACCCAGAATATGGCATTGCTGAGCCAAGTGACCAAGAGAAACCAGGATATTGTTGGCCATAACTCAAGCCACTAAAGCTGACTCTACCATTGTTTTTTTCAGCTATAAGCTGGTAAATTCTTTTTTTCTTCTTCTTTTCATCTTCATTATTAGTAAATTATTTTTTAACTTAAGTTTTTATGTCATTTTTTTATGGAAAGAGTTCTGACTACTATGACATCTCCCAAACTCTTTTGCACGTTTATCTCTGTCTCCTTTTAGTCTCTGTCTCCCCATCAGCTTACCTGTCATGGAGGAGAATCAGCTGACCCTAAGATGTCAGAATTAACCGTCACCCCCAACTTGAGGTGCAAAGAGGAAAGCATGACGTACCCCAATCAGCGTAGGTTGTAGACATTTCAAGCATGAGTGGAGGAGTCAGTTAAGAATTGGTTAACTTGGTTAAGGATTTTATGTTTGGATTGCTGGCAACCAATCAAAACCGACGCTGACGAATTTAAGCCCAAAAGGGACTCTGTTGGAAGGCTCACGGGGTTGCCCCACAGAATCAAAGACAGAGCTGAACACTCTGAACAACAGACTTGGGGAAGGGGAGGAACCAGAGCTGCCCTGGGGAGCCTCTCTGGGCTTTCATGAAAATCTTCTCTGGGCCGATTTCCAACATGATGCGGCCACAAGGCCAGGGCTCTTTGTGGTCAAGATTGAAATGACCAGGGCAGAGAATATTCTTGGGCGGAGGCAGGGTAAGGTAAGGAGGGAGAGGGGGCGCAGCCCTTTGGCCCTGGTTCCTGGGAGCCCGCCCTGCATACGGGACAGGCCAACAGGGGTGGAGGCCTGGGCTTCTCCAGGGCGCCCGAGGCCTGCAGCGCTGAGGGATGACTTCTGGGGGCTTCAGCGCTCTTAGGCCTGGCGAGTGCACCCAGGAAAGGCTTCTTTCCGTGCTTTTGGTTTTCAGGCCTCACACTGTCCCAGATTCTGCCCAAGGGTGGTCTCTCTGACATCTTTAATCTTTATTCTTTTGTCCTTATCTACGCTCTCCATCTTTTTACTCTACTTTCCCTTCTCCTAGAAGTTCCCACCTGCTGGAGCCTGAGTGTGTTTGCCCCTCACCCCCCAATTCATCTGTTGAAACCTAGTCCCCAATGTGATGGTAATAGGAGGTGGGGGCCTTTGGAAGGCGATGAGCTCAGGAGGGTGGAGCCCTTATGAATGGGATTAATGACGTTATAAAATTGGCCCCGGAGAGAGTTCTCGCCCCTTCTGTCATGTGAAGTTAGTGAAAAGATGGCTGTGAACCAGGAAGCAGGCTGGTACCAGACGCCAAATCTGCTGGTACCTTGATCTTGGGCTTCCAGCCTCCAGAACTGTGAGAAATAAATGTATTATTTATAAGCCACCCAGTCTATTGTGTGTTGTTGTTTTTTTATAGCGGTCAGAATGGAGTAAGAAACCACCCTTTAAAAAATGATTCTTATTTTATTTTATTTATTTATTTTTAAACACATCTTTATTGACTTCAGAGAGAGGAAGGGAGAGGGAGAGAGAGAGAGAGAAGCAGCAATGATGAGTCACTGATTGGCCCCCTCCTGTGTGCCTGCTACTGGAGACTGAACCCCCCAACCTGGGCATGTGCCCTGACTGGGAATCGAACTGAGATCTCCTGGATCATAGGTCCATGCTCAACTGCTGAGCATGATTCTTATTTTAAAAATAATCCTTATTTTATATAAAAATAATTATTCAGCCTTGGCCTGCCAGGGGCTCAGTTGGTTAGAGAGTTTTCCTGATATACCAGGTTGTGAGTTTGATCCCTGGTCAGGGTACATACAAGACTTAACAAATGAATGCATAAATAAGTGGAACAACAAATTGATGTTTCTCTAAATCTCTCTCTCTCCCTTCTTCTCTCTCTAAAAAATCAATTAAAAATTAAAAAATAATTATTCAAACAGTACCAAAAATTTTCAATGCAAAGTAAGTCTTTCCCCCATGCTACACTTCCTATATCCCGCCAGAAGCAATAATTTCTGTCAGTCTGCTGTATATCCTTCCAGATGTAGCCTATGTTTATGTCTATATACAAACTCTAGCTATTTTATTTGTAAACACAGCAGAGCAGATTATACACACTGTTCAGTGCCTTTTCATTTTCCGTTCAGAGATGTATTGTTCATATCAGAACACATCTCTCTCAGTCTTTTAAAAAATGTATGTTTTTATTGATTTTAGAGAGAGAGGAAGGGAGAGGGATAGACAGATAGAAACATCCATATGAGAAACATCGATCAGCTCCCTCCTGCAGGCCCCTTCCTGGGGACTGAGCCCACAACCCTGGCATGAGTCCTGACCAGAAGTTCAACTGGTGACCTCTTGGTTCATGGGTCAAGGCTCAACCACTGAGCAACTCTGGTCAGGCTCACCTCTCACTTTTCTGTAGAACTTGACCCTCACTGCTCATCCTGTCCTGAAATTATCTCCTTGCTTGGCTGTTATGGGGAGATAATCTTTGTCTTCCTCTTTCTCTAATCGTGCTTTTCCTGTGACCTTTGCCGGTCTTCTGAAGTCACCATTTAGCAGGAACTTGAGGGAGTGGAACCTGCTGGGCCAGCCCTCTCAGCTCCTGGTCATCCCACACTGGCAGTCACACCATTTAGCTATTGCCTGGACCCCGAAGGTATGTGAGGTTTTTTTGTTTGTTTGTTTTGTTTTTTTAAATATATCTTTATTGATTTCAGAGAAAGGAAAGGAGTGGGAGAGAGAGATAGAAACATCAATGATGAGAGAGTCATTGATCAAGCCTGCAACCTGGGCATGTGCCCTGACCGGGAATCGAACCCTGATCGCCTGGATGCCAGGTCGACGCTCAACCGCTGAGCCACACCAGGCCGGGCAGTATGTGAGTTTTTGATCAATGTCCAAGTCCGAACTCTTTTCTAGGTTCAAGTCCTTCTTAAAAAAAAGTGGTGTTCTTAATTCCTTCATTTTATTTTATTATCACTATGTTAATAGTTATTGCATAGTATTTAAAATACAGTGGTACCTTGGTTTTCGAATGTAATCCGTTCAGGAACACTGTTTGAGGTCTGAAACATTGGAAAACCGAGGGCTCCACAGCGGACAGCTGGGCCTCGGGATCTTGCCCTCAGTGGAAGCCGCGGGGCATGTTCGACTTCCGAGGCGTGTTCGAAAACGGAAGCATTTCCTTCCGGGTTTATGGCGTTCATAAACCAAAATGTTCGTCAACAGAGACGTTGGAAAACCGAGGTACCACTGTATATGAAAAGTTGCAAAGAATAATTAAAAAATACAACAAATGACGTAGTAAATACCAATGTATCTACCATTCGGCTTAATAAAATGTGACCAATATAGGTGAAGCCACTTATGTACCCTTCCTGCCACCGAGAGGTAATCACTATACTGAATTTATGTAGAAAGAAAAATACGCTATATAAAATCTATCTACCCATCCATTCATAGAAATCCTTCCAGAAAGATCTATATGCGGTGGGCCAAACAGAAAACATCAGCGGGCCTGTTTGTCACTTCTGTGATACACCAAAATGTTAATAGTCATTATTTCTGGATGGTAGGACTATGGATAGTTATTCCCTGCTTATTTGTATTTCCTAAATTTTCAACAATGGAACATGGATTACTTTAATAATAATTTACTAATACCCCAAACTTATCTTTCCCTTCAACTCTCACGCCAGTTTAGCTTTTACCCCAGACTTCCTTCTATCTGTCATTCTGGAATTCTTCCCTAGGTTCAAAAGTGGTTGGTGGGCTTGATACCCATTTCCCTTTCACATTCCAACATTTCCAACTATACTTTGGGGTGCCTTGCGTGAATTTCTATGCCCCCCGTTAGGCTGTAAGTTTTTAAGGGGCACAGCCCTTGTCTTATGTAGCTCCCTGGGCCTATCACACAGCACGGCTCATAAACGGATGCTCAGAACATGGTTATGGAACCTTCTGCTTGGTGCCTCGGGCTTGTCTGCATCTTGCAACTATCACCTGCTGAGACACTGTCTCTATAAATAAGCAGTTTCTGTTTCAGGTAAGGTTTGCCCTTGATATTGACACTCCACCTCTTACCCCACCCAAGCCTCAAGCTGCGACATGGGAATCAGAGCTGGTATTCAAATTTTTGGCGACAGTGTAGAGAGGCGGCCCCCATAAGCACCAAGCTATCCATGTGAGTTTCTTTTCCCCCCTGGACATTGTAGCTGCTGTCACTCCACTTGCTGGGGAATTCTTGACGAGATTTTACTTGTCTTTCCATGCTGTTCTTTCTGTGGTTTCTTTGTTTCTTTTTGTGATCAAGTTCCAGATGGCTCAGCAGTGCCTCCAAAATGAATATTTTGACAGATTGCTGAATGATTGCAAACCGTGTCACCTTCGATGTCCTAATACCCCTCCTCTCACATGTCAGCGGTATTGTCATACAAGTAAGTACCATTGTGTGAACAATTATTCGTTGGTATGAAGTATTCTCTCTATACTATTTATCCAAAGAATAAACATTACAGAGAAGATGGTGAGATTTTTCTGAATTAAAAAAAAATAGAACAAGGCAATTATTTAAATGCCAACAGGAATAAAGTAATTATTTAGAGCTGAGCTCAATTTTATTCAGCACTTAGCAACCCAGTATTTTATCAACTCTTCTACTTAAGTGTTATTTAGAATTTGCTGATGAATTACGGGAACTGGATAGCAAATAATCTTTACTTGATATAGATGTTCTGTTATCACTTCATTGTCTGACATTTCTTTTAATTCAGTGAAAGGAACAAATGCCATTCTTTGGACTTGTTTGGGCCTGAGCTTGCTGCTGTCTTTAACAGTTTTTGTGCTGATGGTCTTGCTAAGGAAGATGAGATCTGAGCCATCAAAGGACAAATTTAAAAGCACAGGTGGGTTTGATGGTCAGTCTTTGAAATCTATTTCCAAGAGGTGGCTATTGCAACTTTCAGTTGTTTTCCCCTTTTTTTATGCTGAATATTTCATTAGGTTAGAGCCCTTCAGAGTGTGCCAGGGGACAGTTGATAAATGAACTTCTTGGTAGAAGAGAGTTATCTGCTTCCTGGTGTTTATGTCCTCTTTTGCAGGTGTCCTAGTGCCTTCTCCTACTTTCTTCCCTTGATGATCACTCTTTTGAATTACTGAGGCTTTCTTGGGAAACATTCATTTTTTCTGACCAAAGTTCACACACTGATTAAATGTCATATGACCAGAAACTGCTAGCCAGGTCTGCTACTATCAGGGAAAGTCTATTTGGCAAGATCTGTGGCCATATTTTTAATATGAATGTGTGTTATTTGCTTGGGTGAACATTTTACTGCTGAAAAATATTAGAAATGAATAATCAGTTGCTCCTGGATTACTTTAGCAATCATCTCAAAGATTATTATCTTTATAAGCAGGAGAGAACCAGTCCCAGAGGACTGACTGTTTCTAAGAAGTGATTGCTCCTTAACACCCTTCAGGTCTTAAGGGCTTCTTAAGATAAAACTGCTTCTGCAACCCCTTTGCTCAGGAGCTGATTCCCAAACACTCTGCAGCCATCACCCTATTTCTTTATGCAGTTTTTGGAGCATAATCTGCACAGCATCTACCGCATTCGCTTTCTTGTTCAGTAAGGAGAGGTAAATGGTTGTCCTATATAACTTACTCATTTTTATTTTTGTATTGCCTGGGGTCTGAGAAACAGGTGGGGAAGGACTGTAAGTGTGACGTTTGGGAAGATGGAGTTATACTGTGGGAGACTGGGGAAGTAGTAAAACTTATCTTCACAGGCATATCATGGGGGCATCATGGAGACGCCTTCCTTATGTGATTATGGAGATTCATTAAACAATTTTTAATCTGACACAAAATGTGAAAAGAGAAGCACCTTTTACTTTGAACTCTAAAGTGTCACCATAGGCTGGTTTTGGTGTGCTGTAACATACGGTAATTCGTCATTTCATGTGTGTAAAATAAGGCTGAGGCCAGTTTTCGAGATTTGTGTGTAAAATCACTTGATTTTTTAAATAAAATTTTACTTTAGAGAGCATAAGGGGGGGGAGAGAGAGAGGTGAGAGAGAAGCATTGATGAGCTGCTCCCGGATGTTCGCACCCCAACCAGCGGCTGAGCCTGCAGCCTGGGCATGTGCCCTGACCGGGCATTGAACCTGCTTCCTCTTGGTGCACAGACGAGACTCCAACCACCTGAGCGGCACCCGCCAAGGCAATCACTTGATTTTTAAATGTGGGCCAACACAAGCAAACACTTAAAGACACTCTATGCCCTAAAGCATGTCTTTGAACCTCTTGTGTCCTGTGGCCTGTTAGTTTGTGACTTCTAGTGTAGAACATACTCATTTGTTTTGTAGGAAAAGATCTCATACTGCGAAGGCTGTCATGACCACACCCCCTGGGAAGTTTAGGTTAACTTTTCTGTTTATGCGTAATCAGGATCAGCTTTCCAGAAGGAGGCGAATGCTGGCCGGGATGACAGAAAGGATAGCAGGACCGGTGAGGAAATTCTTTCCAGAAGCCTGGAGTACACAGTAGAAGAATGTACCTGTGAAGACTGTGTCAAGAGCCAACCGAAGGTTGATTCTGACCATTTCTTTCCACTCCCAGCTATGGAGGAAGGCGCAACCATCCTCGTGACCACAAAAACAAATGACTATTGCAGTGGCCTGCTGGCTGCTGGGAGTATCACAAGGATGGAGGAATCAATTTCTACCAGATAACTAACCATTTGAAAACCTTTCGTCAGAAGGAAAAGATGATGTGTCATGTCTCTTTAGGATGGTTGTGATCAGTTAGACATATTTCTCTTACTGTTGGGAGCTTAACTGTGGGCACTTCATTGGTTTCAATGATTAAATTTTTCATTTTTTTAGTTTAATGTATTTTAATAGCAAACTTACAGGATCAGCATAGAAGGCAGACATTAAAAACATGTACTTGCATGTAGGACAACTCAGAAAAGTATAGTAAATGGTGGAATCTACTGTATTATAAAAATGCTACAAACACCATTTAGTTGCCATCAGTAAGAAATTTACTTCTTTAAAAAAAAAAAAAATCCAAACGCTGGCATTGTCCAGAAAAATTTAACAGGTTTATTTATAGTTATAAAACTGAACTGCTGAAACTTGTTCACTGAATAATTTTGACTTGCATTAATGCTTTATATGTCCCTGCATTTATATTAAAAAAATTCACACACAAATGAAGATGGAAAAACTGCCAGTACCTGATTTCTGTCCCTTATTTTCAACTTGCAACCATATACTTAGGACCTTTCAACCCCATGGAAAAAAAATATCTAACGTTCAGAACTACCAGTAACAGGAAGAGGAGAAAATTTTTTTGAAAAGAATGAAATGTTTCCCATCATAGTGGATTCTTAAGCACGTTCTCCACGTATGCGGCGTGCTAGCTGGATGCCTTTTGGTATAATTGTTACACGTTTGGCATGGATAGCACACAGGTTGGTGTCTCAAAAAGGTCAACCAGATAGGCCTCACTTGCCTCCTGCTAAGCACCAATAGCTGCACTCTGGAAGCGCAGATGTTTTGAAATCCTGAACAATTTCTCACATCAGACGCTGGAAGGGGAGTTTGCGAATCAGAAGTTCAGTGGCCTTCTGATAATGTCTAATTTCACGAAGTGCCACAGTACCAGGCCTGTAACGATGAGGTTTCTTCACCCCGCCAGTAGAGGGCGCACTTGTGAGCAGCTTTGGTAGCCAGTTGCTTCCTCGGCGCTTTACCACCAGTCGATTTGCTGGCAGTCTGCTTTGTCCGAGCCATGGTATAGACACCTCTTTACTTAACCCCCTTCTCCTCGGGCTGGAGCTTGGTGAGCTGGCGTTAGAGAGCTAAGGCAGCTGCGAACACCCAATGATTAAATTCTTGACTCACTGAAAAGAAGCACTGCAATGTGTAGATTACATAGCCATGCATTTCTACAGCTGGACCCCTTCCCTCCTATACATGACATATATGCTTCAAACAAATGGAATTTTTCTCTTTATTGTTAAAGGCAAGTAGGGTTATTCTATGTAATTCTGTAGATAGAAGCCTATAGTCAGCCATACTAATTCAGTGTGCACTGTATGAGTAGATCCTGACCTTGTGAGTTTCCAGCTTAATAGAGGTCTCAAGCATTATTATAATCATATAAATATGTGTAGAATTACAAACTGTTTTTGTAGAATTACAAAGTTTACTAGGTATCATTTTCAGACCAAAATGCAGGTAATGATGACAGCCAACACATACATAGTTACTAATGTGTAGGGATTGCTCTAAGTACTTTACCTGTACTCATTTCATGCACACAGCAAACTACAAGGTAGGTGGAACACTATCATCTCCATTTTACAGATTATGACAGAAACTAAATCAGAGCAAGGTAACATCCAGTAAATGGCAAAGCCATGACTTAAACCCAGGCATCTTGACTTATTTTTTTCTCTTTACATCAATTTAGTTCCATTCCTGAAATCCCTATCTCTTTGGGCTATAATCTCAGTCATTACAGGGGAAGGGTTCCCTTCCAGGCTTCACCAAAGGTCTTGGGGTTGTGCAAAACTCCTTATGGAAAGGCTATGCAACAGGTGATGTGCTGTGATAATGTTGACTTTGATCTTTGTTAAGATGCCCACTGGTACCACAGCATAGAACCTCAAGGTCTTGGGGCTTTGTGGCTTTTGTGTCAGGCTTGGGATATAGGCTACCTTGGTGGGATTTTTTTTACCCATTTGGGGCTCATCATGGCTCCATTCTAGGCCCTTGAGGGCAACAGGAGACGTAACAGTATAGTGGTTAAGGCACTGGCTCTTGGAGCCAGACTGCCTGGGTTTGACTCCTGGCTGTTACTAGAAAGTTATAGACCTTGGGTGACTGTAACAAAGTTACTTAACCACTTTATGTTACACACACATACACAGTTATTTCCATAAAAATATCTGGTTCATAAAGAGTAATTTGGTTAGTTACACTGCTATGATTTTTATTAACCCCTTTGAGGTCAGTTCTCTTTGAGGGCGGGCACACACTCTTTTTCTGTTGTATTGCTCCTCACTGCTCATTCTCCCCTCCACGCCCAGTATAACCTCCTCAATGAATTTAGATTTTTCTAACGTTGATGTTAGGCTTTAGATTCTTGGTCTTCCAGGACCAGGCTAAGATCTTGGGGAGAAGGAATTACAATACTTCAAGGGGATGGTTGGTGGCAGAAAACATAAAGCACATACTACAATTTTAATAACTTATCCTGTGTGAAGTGATATGAAGAAAAGGCACAGGGTGCTATGAGAAAGCATAACATAGCATCCTCATGACAGCTCCATGAAGCAGGTATGTGAGGCCTTACCAAAGGTTACAGAGGCAGACAGACCTAAACTAGGCTTTCTGGGGGAGGATTCAGACACACTCTTTAACTAGAGTAACAAATCAACAACTATCAAGAATAATTTTGAAAATGGGAAAAACAACTCCACCAACCAAACACACAAGAATTTTCATTAAAAATATTTCAACTACAGTTGACATATATTAGTTTCAGGTATACAACATAGTGATTAGACATTCAGATAACTGACAATGTGATTACCTTGGTAAGTCTACTACCCATCTGACAAATATTTTCATTTTTACATTCTCCCTATACATGGCTGTATTTTGACACAGTTGTAATCATGGTGTAGACCACTTTGCATGGGGCTTTTTTTTTTTTTTAAATATATCTTTATTGATTTCAGAGAGAGGAAAGGAAAGGGAGAGACAGACAGAAACAGTCACTGGGGATCAAGCCCACAGCCCGGGCATGTGCCCTGACCTGGAATCAAACCTCGGTCTCCTGGATCCTAGGTCAATGCTCAACCACTGAGCCACTCCCGGCAGGGCGGGGCTTTTTTTAACTTAATGTTTTATCAGCTGCCTTTCCCACTTTCCCATAATTTTTATAATTAGTATTTTCAAGTACTGCAGAAATTCCTTGTGAGGTGGGCCACGATTCTACTGTAGTTGGGCTTTGGTGCTTTCCACTTTTTCACTTTTATAAACAATGCTGCAGAGCATTGTTCTCCAAGGAGCTCTTGACCTCTGCTGAATCCAAAAGGTAAGTTCCCTGGGGCCAGAGATTACATTTTGAGAGGCAATGTAGTGGAAAAGCCATGCTGGAATTCTGGTTTCTTTCCCCAGTGGGTCTTGGTCCACAAATCAGTGTTTTCAGCCATGTATTAAGGCATATTTGTGGATCAATCGTTTCAGTCAGCATTTAAAAAAAAGGTAAAGTAGAAGAGAATACATTAAGCACAGAACTGTTGTTAAACAACTACTTAAATGTGCGCATGTGTGTATTGAGTTGTGATGTAAAAGGTACTTTTTTACTCTGGGTTGCAATCACGTTGAGCAAATGCTCCTTTAATTTTTCTGGGTCCCCTAACCCCCATCTGCAAAATGGGGCAGTAAAATGGATTCTTTTGTTGTGAACGTGAACCCGTGGTTTCCAAATGATCCATCCACCTTCATCTCCACTGTCACCACCGTGGCCCCAGGTGCCATTATCTCTTGCTGGATAATTACAATGTCCCCCTAACCTGCTGCCCTTTCTCCACCCAGTCCCACTACAATTCGTTCTCAAACGCTAAGAGGAATCGTTTAAAAACCCAATTCAGACCGTGTCGCTCCTCTGCTTAAAATTCTTGCAATGGCTTCCCATTCCCTTACCTACTTAAGACTTAGGTTGAAAAGTTCACACCCCTTACCATGGCCTGCAGGGCCCCAACCACCCAACCCTTCATCTCTCTCCCTCCAGTCAACCCCTCCAGGCAGGGCCTTCTGCACACGTCCCTTTTGGAACACCGTTCCTGCGGATCCTCCCGCGCCGTCTCCTTATCATCCAGGTCTCAGGCCTAAAATCGTCTCCTCAGAGAGGCCCTCTGGGGCTGCCCGTCTCCCCTGTCCCCACGCTCTGGCCCATTTCTCTTCAATTTCCTTCCTCGGCTCCGAGCGCTGTCTGGAACGGCTCAGCGCGGGGCCTTCGTTGTTCACTGTCTGGCTTTCCGGCCGAGGTGTGAGCCCAAGAGGGCGGGGAGGCGCCCTGACCGTCGCCGCCGCACCCCAGGACTCGCTGACG